GGTACACTAGGATATAGTGATAAGAGTCTGGGTCACAAAAAGAAATCACAGGAGCTCAAGGGAGGTCTAAGTTAATACTATTGTATCAGTACAAAGTACACTACCTCCCCTGGAATCCAATATCTGCATTTGCACACAATGCCAAAACCAGAATGGTTCACAGAAGCATGGATTTGCATGGTACTGGAGCACAGACTTCACATCCCTTTCACATCCAAAGGAACATTACAGCTACCCTCTCCCATCAGCAGATCACACCCATCAGATAGTTTTTCTCTGTCCTCATGCCCATGGGCAGGAAGCATGGGAAGTGTAGTTTTTCTGCTCTCATACCTAGCAGTCAGAATCATGGGAAATGTATTTTATTTTCTCTTCCAGATGAAATAATCCTATAAAACACTGTCATCAATCTGAAAGTACAGGATGTCCAGAAACACTAGAGGTTTTAATGAGTACGCATTTCCCAGAGGTGTGCTCTGAAACAACAGCACGCTTGAAAAATGGCCCAGAACCTTCTTAGGAAAAAAAATAGGGTAATCAAACAAAATTGAAAAAATTCAAATAAATCTTGAGGAATGGGCTTAATCTCTGACTTCAGTCATTCGAACTTTCAAAGACTAAACTTGAGTCAGTTCAGCAACAAATACAAGCCTACAAATCACTATTTACAGAAGAAAAAGCAGAGTGTGTTCTGCCTGTGTGATGCTTGGGTCCCTCTTGGTCACTTTTCCTCTCATTGGTTAATGAGTCCAGTTAATTGGTTAACGAGGTTGGCTTCAGTCGGATCCAGACTCCTCAGAGCTGGGGGGAGTACTTGCGATCTCCTCCTCATCTGAGCCCTGTGGGAGAGAGAGAGGGGACACATCATCACACACAGTAGCCCCAGCGACCGGGGGACCCATCAAGAGCAGGTGGCCCAGTCTTCAGGAGAGTGGAGTGAGGGAACTCCCGTGCTGCCAGACAGGCTCTACCAGAGTCGTGATCTCCACCCCGCTGCCATGAAAACACATGATCCAGAAAGTCAGCTCTGAGATCTCACAGTGCTGTGCTCTGCTCCCCAACATCCACCTGACTCACCACCCAACCCTGGGGACCCAGCACCTGCACAACCAAGTACGCCACAAGAAACAGGCCATCGGTTTCTTCACCAGAACACTGAAGGACACCACACTGGGCACATCTCAAGGCAATCTGGGCCTACATAGCACACAGCACACAGCACACAGCCAGGCCAGGCCAGGCCAGGCCCAGTACTACACATCATAGCTTTGACCCAGCTCAGCAACAGAACCAAACCAGGACCAGGAGTACACAGCACCGCCCTCACGCAGCACAGCAGCAGGACTGGACCGAGCCCGTCCAGGACAGCTACACTGCGGCTGCAGCCAGCAGAGCGGGCAGAACCAGCTCTGAGCCCAAAGTGATACAGCACCCCCTGAGGTACACCTGCACTCGTCTCACGAGCTCCGACACCAGCACATAAACCAACAGGACAGCCCACACACAAAC